GGGGGGAGAGGAGGGGGAAAAAAAGGGGGGGGAAGGAGGAAAAGGGGGGAGAGAGAAATGGAAAAGGGGGGAGAGAAAAATGGAAAAGGGGGGAGAGAAAAATGGAAAAGGGGGGGAGAAAAGGGGGTGAAAGGAGGGGGAAAAGGGGAGAGAGGAGGGGGAAAAGGGGGGAGAAGGGAGAGGCTGAGCCCCCATCTCCCTGCCCCCCGGACGGGCAGCCCGGCGAGCCCCGCGCGCACCCTGCCGGGGGTTATCTCCCCGCCGCCGCTGCCCCGACGGCCACCGCCTACCTGTTATCACCTCGCTGAGCTTGTGTTTCTGGTCGTGGGAGCTGTGCAGGTCAGCCAGCCCCACCACCACCAGCCCCACGATGGTGACCAGGATGCCCAGCCACTGGCTCAGCTCCAGTTTGCGGCCCAGGAAAGCCACGGAGAGGAGCCCAGTGAAGATGATGACGGATCCACGCAGCATCTGGAAACTGGAGGCGCTGGTCATGTTCAGGGCTGCGTGAGGAGAGACGGACCCGTGAGTCGTGGACGCTGCCGGAGCTGGCTAACGCCACCGCCCCTCTGCTTAACTGTCTGCTGCAGTAATTAAGAGCAGATCGGTGATTAATAGGAGGAAGGAGCAGTGACACTGCCCCCCCCGACTCCTACTTGGCTCGTACCAAGACGCAGCCCCACGTCCCTGCTCCACGGGAACCCTGCACCCTGCGAGGAACAGGGCTGAGCCCTGCCACAACTCGCCGCACGGGTGGGAAGCGTTTGCTCAGACCCCTCTAACCGCCTTCGGGGTCATCCTCCCCCAAAACCGAATGCACCGTGGAATCCTGCAGCCCGACAGCCGAGTCTGGCCCCAGGGACAGCCAGGTCCCCGCGGGGCACGGGGGGGGACGGAGGCGGCATCCCCGTCCCCAGCACTTACCCACGTACATGATGCTGGTCCCAGTCATGTCGCAGAGGGCGGGGGGAAGGAAGAGCAGCGGGCTGAAGGGCTGCGACGGGGCCATGCTGGGCTCCGGCCTCCGCTGATCCCTCCACACCAGCAGGTAAAACACCCCCAGGCAGGAAAATTCACCCAGGAACATGCCCACGGCCTGTGAGAGAGGCGGGTGAGGGGGGTGGCCCTGCTGGCGCGGCCCGTCCTGCCCCGGCCCGGGGGCTCACCTGCAGGAACGGGTGCTGGAAGCCGTGCTCCTCCGTCCCGCCACAGCCGGCTGCGCTGAAGTTATCGGCCCACCTACGAGGCAGAGGAGAGGGCGACGGTTAGGCTGCGGGGAGCTGGAGAACGCCCCGAGAGCCAGCCCAGGGCTGTCCTTTGGGCTACCAGGGCTGTCCTCTGGGCCACCAGCCCCGCGAGGTGACAGCTCTGGGGACAGGACATCTGTAGGGAAGGAGACGATGCCGTGGCCGCCCCGGCCCGCC